GTATTTCCTATTATAAAACTCATGTGTTATTGACTATCATATTGGTATCGTTGGATATGTAAATTTATAAGGAATTGTATGTTTAAATAACATACAGCGTGTGGCATTTGAAAAAATTAAATAAATTTAACTTGGAATTAGCCATATTAAGGACTTGTTTTTCAAAACACTCTTTATAAAATAATCCAGTTCTATCACCACTATTCGTTAGCTTAGTATCTTATTACTATTTTTTTAAATTAAATTATAATTTAATTTAGGGTCTGCATCATTTTCTAATTTCATAAAAAAATTAATTTATTGGCAACCCTGCAATATTTGTTAATAAAGTTCTAGGGTTAAATGCAGTATTACAGCATTGCATGCAGCATTCTAAAACTGAAGTAAAATACAGGGTTTTTTATTTAAAAAATATACCTTTTTATTTGTCAGACAAAAACGCAAAACACATGTATGTCTAAAAATATCTTTAAAATACCCATTTTTGAAATTCATATAACTTTTTATTTAGAAATTATTTACGTGTCCATAACACAAATTGAAATATTGAACAATTACGCACTAATGTATGTCCAGGGCCGACTAGAGGGGGGGGGGGTAGCCGGGACTAATTCCCGGGGCCCGGGCTTAAATGGGGACCCGGCAGCGCTGTGTTTCAAAATAAAATAAAATTTATGTACCTGATCTTTAAATGACTTTTATTCAAAAACAATTATTATGTCAGATATTTCAAATATTGTTTCCGAGTAGAAAATTGCAAGATCTATTAAAATCAAGAAAAAAAATTGGGGTTACTATTTAAAAAAATTGTCAATGACGTCACTGCCCAAAAATGGGAGGTGGGGGAAAATTGAATTCTATTTAAAAAATTGCGCTTTGAGTAAACAAAATTGACCTGTCCGAGCATTTTTTCGAAAAACCAACTACTTCCATTATAATGAATTTATTCCATACATTAGCGACATACTGTATGCACGCCACATATGTTTGTAATAATTTAATCCCGCGCCGCGTGTATGTATTTTATTCGCGCATCTATTAGATATTGTAGTTTACCTAAGTATTTACTTAAACTACTTAAAACGTAAAAACAGACTTAAATTTTTAGAAAAACTACTTCGGCTCAGCAGACCCGACCACAACATTTGCTTCGGCAGACGACGTGTTTTAAATGCTTTTTTATTTATTTGTTGTTTAATGTGTATTTGGTTATTAATATTTCAAAAATGCTTATTTTTCTTATTGATTAATCTAAAATGAACACGTAATTTTTATTAATAATTGAAAATAGTACTGTAATTCTAAATTGATAAAAAAAAAATATAATAAAAACTTAATATGAAAACATAAATTACGACTCTACAAATGAAGTAAATTTTTATAATTAATTTCTCTTTTCTTACAAAAACATTATCTCAGCAATATGTCATAAGTTGCATACACACAGTATGTCTATGTAAGTTGACAGCATATAGAAAACTTTTTTTATTATTCATTTTATGTAAAAGTTATTCTTTATAAAAATGTATGCATGGTCTAACAGAAAATGCAACCACCCGATATCAAATTTTATCAGTCGGTTTTACAAGGTTTGTCAAAAAATTTATTTTCGACAAACCCTATATACGACTGATAAAATTTGATATCAGATGTTTGAATTTTAGGTTTTAGACCATGCATAACTTTTTATGTAAAGTAACTTTTTTTCTAAAATTAATAGACCATTCAATTGTTTATGAAAAATAAGATTTTTTCTTAAAATTCTTAAAAAAGTTTTCCGTATGCCGCCAAGTTACACAAACATACTACATATAAATGAGATTAAATTTGTTGAAAATAATTTTTACTGATGCAGATCTATATAAAGTATTGTGGGTAAATACGGTAATAAAAACACTTTTTTATTATATTTTTCTTTTTTTTTATTTGATTCATTGGCTGCAAGACCTTTCGGTATATACAGGGTATTCCATTAAGAATGGAAGCAACTGAAGATTAACTGATCAGAAATAAGCCGATTAAACGAAACATCCGTAGGTAAAACATTACTCGAAAATCAAAAATAAAATTATAAACAGCTACAATTTTTTTTGTTATTCAGTTTAATTTTACTAAATTCGGCAAACGTTATTGGTGTAATAAAATACACCTATCAGCAAAAAAAATAAGTTAAATAAGCTTTGCCAGTGGCATACTTCATGGGCAAGTAATACCTTTTTCCCTTCTAAATTTTAGTCCACTGTCCAAAATTTTGATTTTTTTTATTAAATTTCTAAAAAGAGTACATTATTTATTTGAAAAACATCAAAAAATTTAAAATTTTATGTCTAAATAACTTTTTGGATAGTGACGTAAAATTTAGAAGGGATGCCGTATTACGTACCAATGCTGTACGCCTCTGGAAAAGTTAATTAAAGCAGGTAACTAATTTTTTGCTGATAGGTGGATATTATAACATCAAAACCGTTTGCCAAATTTAGTAAAATTCTTGTGAGTAATAAAAAAATATAGCCATAAATATTTTTTGGATTTTAACACCGTAATTCGGAAACGAGAAACATTTTATCAAAACATGATTTGTTTAGTTATCTTATTTTATTCAGAGAATCGTCAGTTGTTCTATGTCCCATTCTTAACGAAACACCATCTATGGTATAATAGGTCCCTACGTAATGATACGAAGACCTTTATCCTTTGTTGACTGGACACAAGAATGAACTACTAAGTAAATATACCGATATTCCGAATGTAATCCAAAATATTATTTTTATACCTGCTACATCGAAAATATTTGCAAGGTCAAGAACTCGTTTACGTATCATCGCGTAGTGGCTAGGGGTGATGAATTTGTTATTTTATAACAATTACCGTTTAAAATTAATAAAATTATTACGCCATCTGTTGAACAAAAGAACTATTAAATATGGAATATTGCTCCATCTGTTGAACAAAAGGATTCTTAATTTATGACATATAAATGACATCTATCAAAATTAGTTCATGTTACGAATATTGGGGGTGGTACTGTGGCCTTAAACTATCAGACTGAGACATAGGGTTTCCAAAGGCTCCAGAAGAATTGATTAGATTTTGGGTATAGTCGGAGTACTTTTTTGTAAATTTCTCTTATTTATGATTGTAGAAGAAAATTCTTCGAATAAAAGTTTTCTGTGACAATTTTTGTTATTCACATGAGGTATTTTAAATTGAGACATATTGCAGACATTTGATGGAAAGTACAAAATTCAATTTTGTTTTGTTTTGACCAAGATTTAAATTTAGTCATGTGTTAGAACACAGATATACATACAAAAACAAAATTTTGGTTTTTAAACAATTGTTTCAAAACACTTAAGTGGAGGTTATGTTATGACAATCGGCCATATTGTTTGCCCAAACTACAAATTTTTTGGAACGCTTTTTAGTCGGCTATATCTTATCCAGTAAATATTACAGATCAACATGGTACGGCATAGTTATTGTTAAGTTTAATGCTCTAAGAGTTTAATTATTTTCAAATAGTCGTACTAAACATTGTTGCCTTTAAATTTGTTTTAGTTTCCGAGACTTGTTTAGGCAGTAATTAGTGTAATACAGTAGTACCTTCGAGTATGTGTTTTTATTACCCCAGTAGAGTAGTCCCATCCTTCTTCAGCATTGACAGATTGGATGAAACAAAAAAGAATGTTGAATTGTTTTACGTATGGAGTGTGGAGGTACAAGAACCATCTCCATTTACAAAAAGTGTCCCTCAAAATGTATAAATTAAAATGGTGTCTCTGTACCAGACTCAGAAGGACGCCGAAAGTTGTGACAGTCGATAATTCAGATCACAGTCTGATCCACCCACATACTTTGATTACTAGACGGTGCAAGAGAGAGGTCCGACACGCCCAACATAGGGCGCGGCCAATTTGATGCCTTTACCACAGTTTATAGCTAAAGAATCAGTTCGCTCACTCTGCGTCAACTTTTTTGATCTCAATGTTCCAGTTTATACACTGCGTAACTCGGATAATACAATATATGACAACCGCCTATAATAAAACAGCAGTCTTCTGCGCATTCTAAATTTGTATTTTTGGAGTGGATGTTATTTTGGAACTTTCAACTAGTGCGAGTGAGCTAACTGATTCTTTAGCAATAAACTGTGACTCCAAAAATAATATTCACTGACACTGACAACAGCAAGCAATATATTAAAGATATTGCGCCAAGATGTAGGCAACACGTAATAAGGCATCAAAATGGCGGAGTTTTCTATCTCCTTTTAAAAGGCACTCAGAAAACCGCGCAGTGCGACCATTCTCCGTATAGTAAGAGAAAATCAAAGTAGGTGGATCCACCAGATTGTGGACTGAACAATAACAAGGTGAAACAGAACATGATTATTATAAATGCTCCCGAGTGAGATGAACAATAAAAATGGCTGCGCCCATAGAGTCGCATCTAGTTCTATTGATACAACATGCACAATGGCCATTCAACCTTACTCCAGTTTATTGATGATAATTAACACACAGGCAACTCTTTTTTTAAAGAAATTAGAACTCTCCTGTCATTGTCAATGTCATTTTTGTTTATTTTTTCATCAAATAATTCTTAAATTACTTTTTACTTTTACATTTTGTCGGTGTAATGCGAATACAACCTAACAGTATTTATTTTTTCTGTTTGAACCCATTTTTTCTTTTCAGTCATTTGGGTATTAATAAAAACATTTTTAGGAACAATTTACATAAGCAGCGGAAGAAAATACCCCAAGTTAGTACTAGACGATCATCACTACTGTCTATTGTCCCAAGCTAGAGATCACACTAAATGGAGATGTCTCTGTTACTACAAAACCAAATGTAAAGCCAGCCTATCGACATCGAAGAATGTGGTTACGGTTATGCACGAACACAACCATCAGGCTGTCAAATCCAAAGAACCGGGAACATTGATACCAAAAAACGTCGTGATAGTACGACCAAGTCCTAACGAGATAAATTAAAAAAATGACTTATTCTATATTAACACGTTCACTGCTGAAAACTGATGTTTACTGTGCATATCTCACGGGTGAGGTTATGTCACAGATCCATGACATACGCAGTGATCGTGTTAATATTGTGTCCTATGGTTAGGGTTGCCACATTTCCGGAAGTAAAAAGCGATAGAGCATATTTTTATATAATCAGGTCCATTGGCTGTGAACATTTCTAAAAAAAAAAAAGATCCTCAGCTTGTTTTTCGTAAAACCGAGGATCTTTTACCCGGATATTTCTCCATTTTTGTAGAAATCCGATTCCTCTGCGGCTTTTAAAATGCGTGGAATTTGTATAAAAAGCGTACAGGCAAGTCAAAAAGCGTGGCAAACACGCCTAAAGCGTGACGTCTGGCAACCCTACCTATGGTGAACTGCTTTCATACATGGTATTTTATGGTATTTTTGTTTTCCTAATTCTTGAAATAAATTACAAAATCTTTAAGTGTATTGTGTATTTTTTTACCTACGTTTTTTATTACCTATTTTAGGTTGAATTTTATCCTTACTAATATCCCTTATCCTTTTTTTAGTATTAGTTACGTTCGCGAAGGGTCAAAAACAAACGCCGTTCCTTCTTTTGAAGCATTTCAAGTACATCAAACATCGAAGTTCGCAAAATTCCACGTATTGGAAATGCTGGATGTACGACACGGGTAGATGTAAAGCCAGATGCACCACGTACGTGAACAATTCCATCAAGATTTCGGGCGATCATAGTCATATGTTCAAACCTATTTGTGATTTAAATGTTATATGTCAAGAATTGTATAATGTTGTAAATTAATTTATTGTTTAAAAACTACGGTTTTGTTTTATTTATAAAAAAGATGTAACAGTAACTGCTATTCTTTTTATGTCTATGGTACTGCTGCAAATATTTGGGATAACAGCTGTCTGCTATCCTTGCTACTACTTATACCTAATCTTTAACTAATCAATATCAGCTCCTAATAAAAAGAAGCCTTAAAACTTGAACCCTTTAAACTGTATAGGAAAAGTTCTATAAGTTTATCTTCTCATTTGTACAAGTACCGACATCTAGTTTTCAAGATAATTTCTATACGATAACTGCTTCATCCAAAGACAGAATTCTATCCAGTAATCATTAAAGTTGGACATATTTATGCTAGAGGGCGACATAAGCACAAACACGTACAGTAACACCGTTGTATGAAGATTATATAGTAGGATAATGCAACAGTAAAAAGTGTTGGATGCAATCTCGAGCGGCATCTAGTGACGATTTAATGAAGTAGTCAATTTTTAATGCTATGCAGATACGCCATCTATGTCTTCTTTTCGTTCAGGCACATGGCCTCTATCACCTACCTATTATAGTTAAAAACCTCTTTATTTATTTAAAAATAACAATTTATGATAAAAGACATGAAAAATTAAACATAATAATGAAAATTTATTCCAGTTGACAAAACCGTACGAATAAAATTTTTGGATTAAGGTGATAAAAAGTGGTTAAGGACTTTGGTCAATATTTTGGTTATGTGCGGTTATGTCAAAATATATAAACAATAACAAAGAATACCTAATAACTTATAACAATGTCCAATGTTTTAAATAAATTGAAAAGTTCCAAGTAGAAAACAAAAAAGGAATAAGCTTCTGAAAATGTTGCATGTAATCTAAGTACTTCTAATTGGACTAAGTGTTGGAAAAGTTTATAACCATAAAAATAGCTGAATATTTTTAGTTTTCAAAATTTGAACAAGCTTTGCTACAAAATTTCATCAAAGCTATCAACAGTTTGCAAGATATTGTGTTGAAAGTGTTGAAATAAATCACCTTGAAAGGAAGTTTTCAATAGCTCCACTCTTTAGGAATAGCTCAAGACGAAATCAATAGACCTACAAGTGGTCTATCTGTGGCAGACATATTCAGTTAGTCTTTATATTTCATTATGCAATGTTACAAGGTTCAGCAACTTGCCAAAATGGTTAAAATTTATTTCCAAAATCAGTGCTCTTATTTAGTACAGAATTCTATGAATGACACAATAATTATAAAGTCCTAACTTTGAACATAAAAGAAAATCTTATAAAAAAACATTTTTTTTTTATATAATTTATCACTGTTTGGAAAAGTATATTTGTTTGTAAAATATTTGTGTTTACAGTTATATTTAATCCAGGTTAAGTGTCAGTGCACGAGTATAATGTTAAGTATGAACAAAATCCGCCCATTCTGTTTATATGTTTGGTTACCGACCCTAGTAGATAGGCTATTTGTTATTACTTTTAATTTAGATTTTGGATTAACGTTTTTGTATATGACATGGCTGTTTAGTAATAAATGAAGTCAAAACTGTAACACATGGTTTTATTCTGGAAAGTATTTTTAAATTAAATCACACACGCCGTTCAAGTGAAAATGTTTTAAGTAGTTCAAAACAACAATCACTCTTTTTCATTGTTTATAGAATACAGCCTTTCAGTTAGCTCAGACAAAACTGATTAAATAAATAAATTAATGTCTTATTATTTTTTGAATTTTTTTTTATTTTGACTGGTTGACTATCTCAAAAATTAAAGCCAATCAAGCAAAACGTGAGTCACATTTCGCTTTTTTAGAAGAACAATAATGCAAATGAAAATTAATGATTCCACAGAAATAGCAAATTAAAGAAAATGTAATATAAAACTTACAACTAAGACGTTAAAGAAAAGTTTGGAAATAATCGCTGGGGACTTCGAGATAGCAAATTTATTTTAGTTTTAGACAGAACTACTTTATTTTATTCGTTTTGAAACAATTGAAGATTTATAGGCTGGAAAAGCGATTTTAAACTGAATATTCAGTCCAATAGGCTCTCGACTGAAATCCTTTCCATTTTTAGAATATTATCTTTCAAATTCAACAATTTTATGTTTTGTTCCAACACGGATTTTAATAATAGATTTATAAATTGTTTTTGTTTATTTGAATGTTAAAAGTTCTTAAAACTAACTTTAACATATATTTCCCATGCTGGCGCTTAGTGTTAAAATAATGAGACAATTAAACAAAAAAGTCTTACGAGAGCCAGTTGCCCTCTTTTGGTACACATTTGTACAAGGCAACTTTACAAATGTTTCCTCCTTTTTTCTCTTGTAGAAGATGAACACGCTGTGGAGCGCACAATGATGGTATTTTAAAAAGCCACGTCACATATTTGATTAGATAATTAACTTGATATAAGTGCCTTCAAGACTTAAGTCGTTAAGCATTCAAGTTTGGATTTCCCAACCCAGATTCAATTACATATAAAAACATTTTTTCTTATTTTGGAAAAAATATGAAAAATATAATTAATGCAATCTTTCTGCTAAATTTTGTAGTATTTTGATAACAGTTCAGAAAAAAATAGTAGTAGTCAGTAACTGATCTTTACGAAACCCAAAGTTGAGCACTTAACGTCCTGAGCAATGAAAGTTTATGTCAATGTTAATTATCTAATCAAATATGTAACATTCGCATTTTCTATAATTTATAATTTCGTTGAGAGCTTCATCATTGTAGGACATAGGACATGCAGCAAAGTATTTCCATGTACAAAAAAAAAACAATGAAAAATTTTTAATTTTGCCTTTCGAAAATAATACTCCTAAATGTGCCTACCATAAATTGGTACTCGATTCGTTTTCAAATGGTGTCAAAAGTTACTTAGTATAATTTCACTAAACGTGTTTGGTATTATGTTATAAGTTTACCTAACAGCAAAAAAATCTGTTAGTTAAATTTTGTCAGTGCCGATTTTAGTAAAATTATATTGAATAATAAAATTATAACTACCTACCTATATATAGGTATTTACCCATTATTACTTTTTTTAATTTTCAACTTAACATCCTGTATTTCAGAACATTTTATCCAAACATTTTTTATTTTCGTCTATTCGTCTCATTTTGAACAATAATATTCAGTTGTTCATGTCCTATTCTTAATTTGATGATACCATTAAATAAAAGTGAATATAAATTAACAGCGTACAACTCAAGTTTAATTAACCATCAGCGATATATCCAAAATCCAACCACAATATAGAAAAAAATGTTCCCTATTATAGTAAAATTCCACCCAATCTCAACTAATTCAATCTTTTTCAAACAAAAACTGGTTTATTTTATTATATCGATTATTTTCGCATTTTATGTGACCTTCAAATACCCTGTATTCTGTGCTTTTGTAATAATTTGAAATAGTAAATTGTAACTATAAAAATACATTACCGAAGACAAGTAGAAATGAAAAAGAAGATTTTAAATTATAATTCATACTCAAGCACAGACATGACCTAAAGACCTGACTTGGACATAAGTACAGTATCGCCATCTACATTCTATGTCCATCGTCCTCCAATGATAAGTCCATAAGGTTACCCTACTATATTTATTCATACAACGGTAACACCAATGAAGTGAAGAGAAGTAGAATGATAACTAACTGTCAATGAAAAAGTTTAGACACTATGCACATTTTTGTACACAAGATTCAGGGACGGTTTAAGAACGTTTTGTAAAACAATTATAAAATAGTAAATCGGAATATAATTATCAGGTATAATTTAATACTAAATCGAAATCAAAGCACAAAAAATCACAAATATAAGCAAGCCAATAAAGAACCAACGTTAGAAAAGCTTGCAACAGCCACAACACAAAAAAAGCTGAACATGAACATAATAGCTGAACAAAACCAAGTCTGGAATTTATTTACTGTGCTTTAGAGCAACCTCTCCTTGTCTCATTTACGCGAGTAAGAGAGAAAGGTTGAATCATGCATAATTTTTAGACTCATCATGGATGCACAGACGGTATCTTATCATTCCAGCCTCTCTATTTCTTATCTTTATAGAATTTGTAGAAATTCACAATGACTTATGATTAGACATTTGTAGGTGGAGCGAAAGTAACATTTTCAAGAACTAGGCGAAACAAGAGATGTATGATCTATAAAAACTATCTATTTTACGTAAATCAAATTAAGAGCAACCGGATATTCTGGATGTGTGCAAATTATTACCACACGAAATGCAAATCGAGAAGCGTTACTACCATCGAAGGAATTCTACTAAGATACGGGCCGATTCACAATCATCCGCCTGATTGTGAAAAGATTAGATTAATTAGACTTCACAGCAGAGAAAAGTGACAATGTTTCTGTTAAATGTGTATACCTGATAATAAATTGACTGATGCTACATTGCTGTTTTGGCTTTTCCTCATTAACAATTTGAAAACTATCTCACATTTGCCGCGTTTGAAAATCCACATCCGATGCATTTATTTACATCTCGAGCGTTTTTTTATCCACATCTACTACATCTACATCTGCGTTTGTTTATCCCAGATGTACCTATTTATGCCGCGTTTGAGAATCCACATCGGATGCATCTGAGATGTAGTAAATCTTTGATCACGTGATTCAGTATACGTAAATGTAATGGGACAGATGTGTCCGATGTGGATAAAAAAAAGCTCGAGATGTAAAAAATGCATCCGATGTGGAACCAGCCCAGGGGTAGTATTCTCGAGTCACGAATATAGATTCGCATGCGAGATTTATGATTTGTCTCACTTGGTTTTCGTTCAACAAAGTGAGACACATTGTGAAACACGTATGCGAATGTCGGTATATTCGTGATTACTACCCCTGGGCTGGAACTCTGTGTCATGTAGAATTCTACTTATCGCTTTCTACAATAGATTCTTTTGTGGCACTCTGTGTAACATAGCGGAAAACCAACGAGTATATAAAGGGTGTCCCATCAAGAGCGCCGGATTTAAATTTGCCGCCATTTTGTTAATACGAGTTGCACTGTCAATTTTTTTTTGACAGATGTCACCTACAGACCGCGCGATTTAAGAATATGGAGAAGTATTCAAATGAACAACGTTTAATTATTGTAAAAACACATTACAAAAATGGTGAAAGTTTTGCGAAAACAGTTCGCCATTTACGTCAAATTTTCGGTCGTCATGATGCGCCAAATGAATCGACAGTGAGGCGTTTAATTACAAAATTTGAGACCAAATTTACGCTGATGGATCAGAAGACCATTGTACGTCGTCGTCCTTGTCGGTCACTCGAAAATATAGCCGCAGTAAGGGAATCTGTGACCGAGAATCCGGGAACTTCCATTCGGCATCGTGGTCAAGAATTAAACATTTCCAGAGGCACTATGCAACGAATTTTGGTAAAAGATCTGCACTTGCATGCGTACAAGGTTCAATTGGTGCAAGAAATCAAGCCAAGAGACCATGCGCAACGCCGTGGATTTGCTGATTGGGTGTTGGAGCATCATCAAATTAATGCGGATTTTTCGAAGAAAATAATGTTTTCAGATGAGGCACATTTTCAACTCGACGGATATGTAAATAAACAAAACTGTCGGATTTGGGGTGCTGAAAATCCTCGTGTGATACTTGAACAACCAATGCATCCACCACGAGTAACTGTTTGGTGCGCATTTTGGGCTGGCGGAGTGATTGGGCCGTATTTCTTTGAGAATGCGGCTGGAAATGCGCTAACTGTTAATGGTGAGCGATATCGCGAGATGTTAACCGGATTTTTTTGTGGACCGAATTGGATGAAATTAATGTGGAGGACATGTTTTTTCAACAAGACGGTGCGACCTGCCACACAGCTCGTGAAACAATGGTGTTACTGCAGACTAAGTTTCCAGGCCGTGTCATTTCTCGTTTTGGCAATCACCATTGGCCACCAAGATCATGCGATCTAACGCCGATGGACTTTTTTCTCTGGGGCTATGTGAAGCAAAAGGTGTATGCAAATAAGCCTGAAACAGTGGAACATCTTAAAGAGGAAATACGGCACGTTATTGGTGAAATACAGCCTCATTTATGCGAAAACGTGATTCAAAATTTCACCAAAAGAATAACTCTGTGCCAGAGGTTTCGTGGTGGCCATTTGCCTGATGTTGTATTTCACGTTTAATCGTAACCATTTTTCTTTATGTTAAAATAAAAATGTTGACTTAATTCAAAACATAAATGTGTTTTTCCTTCAAATTAAATCCGGCGCTCTTGTTGGGACACCCTTTACTTACTACAGGATAACTAGTTTCATAAGAAACCACATTGCGATATTTCCCGTGCGGTTGATAACGTATTTATCACAAAAGAAAGTAATCGATTTCTATTGTAGAAAGCGATAAGTAGAATTCTACATGACACAGAGTTCCAGCCCAGCCACTGTTTCATAGACAGCGTGGCCCCAGTAAAAAAAAACGGATAAAAATAAGGATTATTATTTCTTAAATTTAAATGTTTAACCGTTTCATATTTTTTCAATAACTACAATAATTCAAAGATGTAAAAATATATAGGGTGTTCTATTCAAAATGATATTTTACCGGGTGTTTTTACTAAGTCTGAATGTTGTAGATTTGCTTTACAATTAAAATTTGAATGATAATTAACCAGTATTTCTTTTATTAGTACATTATGATGATATAATTAGTTTGCTATTTAATTTGAAGCGTTAAATAAAACAAGATATTTAAGCAGGTTCTATTTTAACCTTAGATTTTAACAATAAATTTTATAGCCAACAATCAAATACAAAAACACAAATATGTCTCAGATATGTGCAGCTAAGGCAACACACAATACTTAATTGTGTATTGTGGGTTGCTACCCTCACACAATATAATATTTGATAAAAAACAAGTTTAGCTGATATTATTAATTATGCTTATTTTTATAATTAGTTCTTTCTGGATATTAATGTAACAGAATTAAAATCATAGGTAGTTCGTTGAAGCTCCTAGTATTTTATTGACAGGCAGTTGTGGTGCTCGTTGTTCTCATCACATTTGTTTCCTTGTTCGTCTAGTTACAAAAGATCTTTGTTTTGATTGAAAGAAAAGGTTATAAATGTCAAAAGTCAGAGAAAAATGTTTTTGTTATAAAAAGTATGTTAAAAAATTAAATATGATCATATTATACAAATAAAACCAAATACTACATGGATAATTCTAGTCATTTTTAATGTGTACAACGTATGTTTCGTTAGATTAATATTGTGATTTATAAACGAGATGTCTTTACCTGGTCTTCCTCCTTTACCTAAAAGCCTCAGCGGTTTCAAACTATCAGAATTCCAATCTCAGTTACCACCGACGCCTGTCAGAACTTCGTCAATCCGTTCGACATCGTCGCAACATTCCTCCAATTCCATGATATACGAATCAACCATTCAATTCATACCAGTGGGTAACAGTTCACGAAAAGCCACCAACTTAGAAACAAAACTATCAATTTTAAAGCAAGAAATGTACAACCTCAGGCAGCTAGATTTATCGCTACTATCGCAATTGTGGGCGCTAAACGAATCACTGCAGGAGTACAGGCAAATGTTGCAAGAACAGGAAGATCGAGTGTTGTCACCTCCATCGCCCTCACCTACACCTTCTTCAGGGGAAGATATTGAAGAGGAGTTTTATATGTCTGCCACGTCTTTGAGTTTTAGATCGTCAGCCCAAGTTATTCCTGGCAGGAGGACGAGTAATTCTTCAAATACTTCCAGTTTAGGTTAATTACTGTGGTATTTAGTGGTAGTGGATGGCATTTTAATTATGATACCGTTTTACAAAGCATTCCAAATATTGTGTATAAGATTTAAGCACCTATGAGTAATAATGATAGCTTTTTAATAATTTTGTATTTACTGGTTGTGTTTTATTTATATAAGTGATAAATGTTTTACTAATTTAAATTGTTTATTAATTAACCTTTTCGCATGTTATACAGAGTGCTCTGAAACTAAAATGTACTTTAGATAGGAGTACCTACCAAATAAATATTCATTTCTTAAGTACCAGTTTTTGCACTGGTGTCTCATTTTATTGTAAAAAAACTCTTACAAGTATTAGAAGAGTTATTTGAAGGTAAGAAAAGAGTATATTAAATTTCTTTATTAAAAATGTAAACATATTTCATTTCACAAGACAGTAATAACACTAATACCTAAAGTTATTTAAATTGACAATTCATTCATAAATAATATAAACCAGACTGAGAACTATTTGTTTATGCTGCTATAATACTCTTCTTCTAAATCATAAAGATCAGCAGCCATATCATCTCTTAACGACATCAATTTTTGATCACATTCTGCTTGTTTTGACCTAGAAAAAATAACTTTTAAAATCAACAGAATGTATTAGAAGACTAAATGTATATACCTAAAAACCTTTGAGTTGTGGGTGATAGCCTCATTAACAGAAGGAAAATCGTTTAAAATAAGGTACTGTTTAATATCAGAAACCAATTTCATCAAAGATTCACCAGCTCTTACAATATTCGCAGCTCGTACATGCATTTCATATGTATCTTGTTCGCACTGCGTCATTCTTGATAGTTGAGTGTCGTGTTCGCCTTTAGAAAGCTTAACGATTTCTAAAAAAAATAGTATTTATATTAATACATTATATTTTTAATTGATTAATTCTAAATTCATAATTCTTATCCAATTCTGGTAATTCCTACCTTCAAAATTTTCCAGCATACTTTTGACGTCATCTTTTAAACGAGTCCTGTAGGATTTCAACAAGGCTTCTTTACTTTGAGGAAGAGATCTGGAGAGAGACATTATTTTTATATTTTTAAAACTTGTAAACAATATATTTTATTTATATATTTGAGGTTATAATTATGACATATGACATTCTTTTTCAGTTTTTTTGAGAAATTTTAATGGCCTCTGCCTCTGGTTTTCAACATTTCTACCTTTGGGATAGGCAATACATTATACCTTCGAGTAGCTCGTTTTGCATATATCTTACAAGTCCTAAATTACTTATTATAAAATAGATATGTTAATATCCTTCTTTAATAGCTGTAATAATACATTTTTACTCATTTAAAGTATACAGCAGTATTTTAGTAACATTCACACATCTCTAAATTATTAAACTTGGGTTGAGAGCGTTGAGAGTTCAAAGACAAATAGCCTTGACGTAATTCGTTGTATACTCATAAAATTGACTCGCCAATTAAAGATTTGTATTTAGTGTAATTTATAATGCAAACATTAAAATAATTTTAAACAATTTACTGCTGCCTACATTAAGATTTAAATGTATTTGTTTCGTATAATCTCAATTTAAACAAAGTAGTATACAGAGTGAGCCACTAAAAACAGTCCACCCTCATATTTCGTAGTACTCATTGGATTTTAAGAAAATAGATCGGTTTTAGACTGTTACCAAGTATGTTGCCAGTGGCGTAGCCAGCCATTTTTCATGAGGGGATTTTTGAGACCTTTGGGGGGTTTCTGAGACCTATGGGGGGGGGGGGTTTCCCAATACTATAGCGGAACTAGTGACGCGAGGACCCTAAGGGTTCTGACCCCCAAAACACCTTCCGTGTCTATGCCACTGTATGTTGCAGTAAGCTTATTATGAAAAAAGTTTTTGCCTATGATAAAAAAAAATTGATTTTTTGTTTTGTTTTGCTTTGTTTTTTTTTTGATATTCGCCTTTAGTGGCGCCTCTCTACATATACACTGTCTGTACATGAGTAAGGCTGACATTTTCGTAGTCCTCTTTTCAACGTTCCTTTTTACTGATATGAAATAAAAAAATGTATACTTAAATAGTTTTGTTGACTTTTGTTTAAAACGTCTAACCTTAGCAAAATGTTATCTGACTGTAAGACAGTAGTTATCAGTGTTATAGTCAGTCATTTGAATTTTCTTAATTGCATATCAGAAAAATGGTTCAGTTAACAGAAATGCACAAAATAAAAATTCTACAGCTGATTGATTATGGAGATAACACACGGATACAAATGGAAGTTGCTCGCTTATTTTATGAAAAATTTCCAAATGTCTATTTTGATAATTAACATAACCCTGTACCCATAAACATAACAAATTAGTCAATAAATATTGTATATTATTTGACTTTAATTCAATAGCTTATACCTATTTTTATGTTTTACCAAACAACTGCACTTAATGTCTAGCTTATATTATTTTACAAACTCATAAAAATATTTTATATTTATTATTATTATTTAAATACCTTTAGTTTTTTGTTTTCGAAACTGTTTTCATAATAATATTGTTTTTATAGTTGCTTTTTTGTGCAGCATTCCATTTTTAACACTTTGAATGCGGCAATTTAATTGAAAACAATAAAACTATGGTATCAAATTATATTTTCATGAGAAATATTTAGAAGAAAATCTCTAAATTATTTAAATTTTGAAGTAACAAATATTCTACCATCTTTCATACTAGGTATACTATACTATACTAAATTATATATGAAAAGTTACTGCTAAAATTGCTTTTAGAAATAAATTTACACATCTGCCCCTACGGTTTTTATACACAGGATTACCCCATCCCAAATATTTATTTAAATAAAAATAGAAGAAGACGAATAACGATCCACACCCTGTATGAATCTCTCTGGGAAGGGAGGAATTACATAAGAGAAACCGCTGATCTGTCGAGAAGTTCCGAGAATTCCACCAGCCGACAATTCAAATTACTTGTTATCTCTAAACAAGTGTTTAACATTTTTTTTATTTTACTTTCAGTCTGATGTTAGCTTGCAATTAATAAAGTCATCAAAACATTGTACTTGTTATATAAAAATATATTTTTTTTAAAAACGATTTTTCAAATCTCTGCTTACTAACACATTCAAGTTCTGCCTAAGTACGTGTATTTACTTTTTATTAACTTTGATATAAATAATTCATTCTTAAACGTATTTTTGAAGCATCTTATATTTACAGACACCTACTTTCTAAGCTTTAATTACATTGTTATCAGAAATGTAATCGTACATTTTTTCCTGACGACAGGTCGTTGAAACTGAATTGATTGGCGGAGATATTTAAATATTATGTTGAATTAAATAAACATAATAAACAATCCTACAACTACATATATACCTGTTGTAAATATTATTAAGTATTTTTATATCTTTAAAAGTATATCGTAAAATTTATTGCACAGACTAATATAGGAACATTCAATGTTAAAATCACGTAAATAATGAATTATGCTGTCCTGTGGTCTAGTACTCCTTGAAATATCTCGCACGATCATTCAAATTAATATTTTAAATTTTATTTTACTTATAATTCGTTCAAAAAAAAGTGTATAAAGTTTTATAGTTAAATTTTTCTATTTTTTATTGTGTTAATGTTGAAAACATGTCTAAACAGGAGGAGCACCACAATGATCTAGATATTGTCCTGGAAGAGGTCGGTGATTTTGGAAATTATCAAATTTATACGTTTACTTTATACACTTTGGCAGTTATAGTGCATTCGGCTACACATAACGCTTTTGTGTTCACAGCTTTAAATGTAGATTACAGGTAAGAATTAAAAAAATACCTACATTGAAGGATACATAGCTATTTATGTATCTAGTTACGAAATTCCTCATTTTGTGTAACTAGTAAAAAATTTATAGGACGAGCTTAACGAGGTCCCGCAACAAAAACGAGATACATACAATATTTTTTTCATAATTTTAATAAGATTATTTATAAAAGTGTGTTTTGGTAAACCATGCAACCAATATTAGATATTTTCTTGTATTGTTAGTTGCAGTACCGATGACATTGTATCCATTTACTCAGTTTTCTGTTTTAGAGTTGGGTATAAAACACATGACAATTTTGTAGAAACTGGAACAAAACAAAATATACCTGAAAAATAATAGTAAACGTTTTACCTGGAATTTGGAGACGTGTTTCGTTAACAATCATTGAATTGCCACACATACTTCCGATTTATTAAATTCGCAGTTTTACTTAAACACGGTTTTTAAATAAACACAAATAAAATTGTCTTATGGTAAATTTTAGAGATAAAGCCCATTAAAGCGATTCTGTCGCTTGGTCGCACGCGGCTATAAAATAGAAACGACAAGCTCGCGATTATCTAACCGCACGCGGCCAGTGGTACTATGGATACATATGGAACATCACTCATTACAGACGTTCAGCCCTGTTGGTTGTCCTACAGTTCCAAAATGGCCTCCGACGATGTCGATGATTTAAATGCATTTATATACAGGGTATTGCATGACGTACTGTACAGACTTAAATACCATATTCCTGAGCTCATTTTGAGCATAAAATGTTTTATGAAAAAATATCCAATTCCGAGCCATAATCGTTCAAAGATCAGAAGAAACATTAAGGTAGTTTGTCAATTTTTTAACATTTTTGGTCGTTTGTTTATCAACAATTATGAACGTCTGTTGACTAGTCAGTCCTAAACTTATTTATTGTTTCGGCCTTTACTTGATGAAAATCCATTTTATCTTGAATGAGTAAAACCAAATTTGGTAGATTTTCACAAAACTTTTTGTAGTAATAATCATTTATGTTTATAATTTTGTTTTGTTTATTGTTAAAATATGTAAATATTATGCCAGTGGCGTAGAAACACTATTGGAAAATTAAATGGAGTATTATACTATACAGTTCATCAAATTTCTAGAGGCTTTCGACGGCTAGACAGAGAAAGCACTACTGACAGGCATCCCGACGGATTTACGCAATGAAAGTACACTCTGCGCATCAAGTATTTCACTATTTCATTCAGACGTAAATGTCAGATGTAAATTTCGCTAAAACATTTCTTTTATTTTCGTTTGTGTTTTTTGCTCATTACAGTTTAATAGAACCTAAGTATGGAGTTTAATAGCAAATTAAGAGGCCGCGTGATTAACAGTCAATCTCGCGAAATAATAGCCAATGTTATAGAGTTTATGAGAAGAGAAGGAAACTTTAATTCACCTTCAATACCATTTAAAAATGTAAATGATCGTGTTGCTGCAGCCACAGGAGTATCTAAAAACACTGTCGTCCGCATTTCTGGAGAGAAAAAAAGAATCGATAACCGTGAGATATCGGAATTTTCATCACCAAGAAAAACCATTAAAAAACCAAAAACAGTTAATAATATAGATGAAGCTGCACAAGAATCAAATTTTATTTTTTTATTATTAGATAGCTATTTTTGTTTCTGAGTTGTGTTCATTTACAGGCTCAATTTTTTTCCGTTTCTCCTTTTTGATTTTATATGGGGTTTCAAGTTGTTTTTGACTTATTTCGACGTAAATCACAACAACACACTTTTTTAATAAAGCAAACAAGTGTTAAGAGGTATATGTACGTGTAAACTACAATTACAAAAAATTGATATGAAACCCATGAAACCACCAACAAAAATGTAAAGCTAGCTTCCGTACTAGAACATGGTGTCATTCGTCGAGATAATTTATCGTTTTGTTTAATAGATCAAGAAATGTAAATATTCCCCTGTTATTTTTTATAAAATTATAAGAGAAATAAATTTTTTTCTAAATAGTATAGTTTATTATTTTGTAGAAAAACAAAATTTCGAAAATTTTAGTAATGTTTCAGAAACAACCGTTATTAATAATAGGTACCATTTTCCTTAATAAGGTAGAAATAAAATATAAACTATTTCCACGATTTACAAAGGCCTACAAAAAAATTATAGGTATTTTCCGCTATCCTATAAAATTTATATTTTCTGACTCAATTTCAAACGGTTGAAGGAATTCCAAAACACCTTTTATGGCATAATAATTATTTTCAATTCTACATACTATCTTTAGCTGCGTTTAAAAACGTTCTAAGAAAGTCCAATCAGACCAATTTAATCCCTAAACTATTCCACACTTTTAAAATGTAATTACCTAAAAATATTAAAAACTATTTAAAATAACTTGTTTAGCAGACTGTACAATAGCT